GCGCACTGGCTCAGCTGTGCAGTAAAAGTACTCAAGGAGACTTGTTGAATTGTTTTGGTTTAACCTTTATCAAAGTGGACATTCAGTGCTAGGAATACACTTTCACCACTGTCGCAAATATATCCTCATGAACAAATGCAAATTATTTGTTTGTTTTCTTTTATTTTCAGTGAATAGTTTGTGTCTTTATCGTCACGTTTCTTAAATGAAACTGCTTTGGGTGCGACAATGCGCTGTTTAGTGAACAAACTTGGTTTGGTGGAATTAATAAAACTTTGTAGACTAATGCCTTAAAAGCCCCTTTTATTTTTAAGTTTTGACCGTATCCAAGCGATCTTAAAGCTGGTAGTTTAACACTCTTAATTGTAAATGCGGATATATTGATTATAAATGCTTCGGAAATATTAATATAACTCTGTTGTACTTGACTATGTTAAGGTGATGCAACGCCCGGTTATACTGCGTTTCTGTCTAAATGTATAGTTTCTAGAGCCATGGCGTCATAATGATGGTATTAAGCGGTGGAATAATTCAGGTAGGACTGTGTAGGACATCACTGAAGGCCTAGGTGTGAAATGCACGGCCCGCCACTGGTGAGTACATATAAGTGTGTGTTTATATATATATGTTTATAAATGAATAAATGTGTGTGTATATATATATATAATAGTATCAAATAATGCTGTCAGATAAATGAAGTACACAGTAATAGTCAAGGTTATATTCAATATTCTGCACTTACACCAGCTGAGATGATAAAACACCAGTAATACAATCTCAGGACTCTTCGAAAAACAACTATTCAATATCCTGCTTTACTTCGAACGCTATAACTGCCGAAGATGAAGTCTATGACGCTAAAGCTACGTTCTTGCGTAATGCGGAAGTGGGCGTGTTTAAATCTAAACTGGGTTGGAATACAGAGTTTGCCGCTTGGCGCACACCCAGAAAAACACAATCCACGTGTTATGGATGGAGAAGGTTCCCGTGGCAAGATCACAGAGAGCAACATTTAGCACCGGAAGTCAAGAATGTTGCCTTTTAGAATAAAATGTACGAACAACACTTTTCGTGATTTACAGTCATAACAAAATGAAGTAAATATCAGAATGGTTTCAAAAGATATTTATGAATTATATAAAAACCGTAGTTGTGAATTTGCAGTTATGTGATGCAATTTAATAACATCACAAACTGATATTGTTACTGTCTGGATTTTAAAGGATAATATTTTGAAGGTTGAAACGGAAGTGTATCGGTTCATGTCAGGGGACTTTACACTGGTAGAAGTCACATGTGGTACTTCGCAGTACAGGACCAGCAGCAGCAGCAGCAGCAGCAACATATATTACTTTTAACCAAGTCGTTGTTACTTTGTCCATTGTTACATGTCGCTGAAAAGGAGTCTCTTTGGAATAAGACCTGCTTGCGGCTTTGCGGGTTGAGCCCACTTCTTCGCTGAAATTCTACGCATTTAGCCCTCGTTAGCTCGTTAGCTAACTGACTAAAGCGTGGAGGTAAATAAGCTAAACATTTGTGTTTTAGTATGTCCGTACTATCATTTCATTCTTAATGACAACTTGTTTTAAGTTCATATTTTTAACTTATTTTAAAGCTGTCATGCGTTAGTTTTGCAATAAAAGCAAGACACTGTTCATGTTTACTTTTATATAACCGTAGCGATATATAGTGTGTTAACTTAATGTGTGATAAATTGGTTTAAGTTTGAGATTAACTCACGCACTAGTGCCTCTGGCAGTGTTGAAGAAGGTAAGTTCCTTTACCTAAATAATAACTGTCTGTTATCTGGATCTTGTACTTGAGTAAAAGTACCAGAGTGTAGGAATACTCTGTTACAGTAAAAGTCCTGCATTCAAAATGTTACTCAAGTAAAGACTATAAAAGTATTGACATCAAATATAGTTAAAGTAGCGACAGTAAAAGTAGTCATTGTGCAGATTGGTCCATTTCAGAATAGTATATGATGTGTTTTGTAATTATTGATCATTAAAGTGTTATCAAAGCTGGTGCAGCTAGTTTGAATGACTTTGTATACTGCAGGGTAGCTTGTGGATTTACTCCGGGTGGAACTAAAGTCTGATTTAAGAGTTAATAATTTGTTTATCATTATTTGCAAAGTAACTAAAGTTACAGTACAATTACAATATTTACTTCTGAATTGTAGTGGAATAGAAGTACAGAGTAACATAAAATGGAAGTACAGTACTTGAGTAAATGTAGGCCTACTTAATGACTTTACTACTGGTAATAGATTCTTTCAGTCTAGGTTTTGAGGTATTTCACCCCAAGACCAGCCTTCGTCAATTCAAAAGATGTCTATGTTTCAGATGGATGAAAAAATACCAGAGGAGAATGGAGAGACGTTGCCAGCGCATGTGGAGAAGGAAGAGGAGATGGAGGTTACCATGACACCACAACTAGAACATCCAATCGTAACCCCTGGCAACGCAGACATATCAAACACAGAAACACATATGGAGGAAACAACAGCAACACTTTCCTTGCAGAGTGTGTGTAAGACAGAGGCGTGTGAAGACGAGGGGTCAGACAGGTATACACGCACACACACACACACACACACACACACACACACAAGTGGACAAAATGCTGGTTATTAATGTATTTGAGTGAACTGCTTGTTACAGTAAGGGAATGGAAACGATGAACTCCCTCTGATGCTCTTCCTTTCCCCTCCCCAGTGACAGCTCTTCATCCTCCTCTTCCTCCTCATCATCCTCTTCTCCCTCTCGACCTGTTTTGGTGGAGGATGACGATGACGAGGGTTTCAGCCAACCGGCCCCCATCAAAACCAGCGATGAAGTCCTGCTCGAGGTCAGTCTGTGGTTGTATGTTTTTGCTTTAAGACCTCCTGTCACTTGGTTTCGGTTGATTGTGTATAGAGTTAGCATTTTACCACTTATCCTTGTCTCAAAGTCAATGTTTTTTTTCAAGTGATTTTGGTTAGAAGCCTAAAATAAGCTCTGTGGTTAACACAAGCTGAAGAGATTTTCACATTTTGTTCTGCGATACATTAAGTGGTTATGCCAATGTTTCCGCTTGCCGTCATATTGTCCGGTAAAAATAATTTGGGATAAGCACAATTGTTTTTGTTAAGTTTATTAAAAAATACACTTTTTTTGAAGGAAAAATTATATTTCTCATTCGCATTAGGTGCGGCACACATACTGCTTCTTTGCATACTCTAATACTTGTTGTTGATGAACACACACCTATTGTTCCGCTCGTCTCAACATAAACAGATGGAGGATGATTTGACATCAGGAAATAACTGTTACATCGATACAATAAGGAATTTGCTTTGTTAAAAATGTTGTAATATATTGAACTGTCTGTATTTTATGAATGTTAACTGTTAATCGTCTCTCGTACATGGTCACATTGTTTAGTTATACAACAGTGATTGCACTACAAAACGTTGGAAAGCGACTCTGATGCGCCCTGGTGATCAAACGTTTTACTCACTTTCTTTTTACTCTACTCACTCACTACTTACTTTCCTGTTGCGCCTCTCTGGCGAGAGAGCCTCAGGTGCACTGGGGTACAAACAGCACCACATTTCTGCCAGTTATGCAGGCTTGAGTTTCTCAATAGTAACTTAAATACAAAATTAATCGAGATAGCCCTGATCGTGTCTTTCTTTATAAAGCCTTCTTTTTCAATTGTTTTCAAGTTCAGATCATATTTGATAGAATATCTCGTATTTGTCTGGTAAATTGAAGTCTTACTGGTCACTTTTACCAACACAATGTTTTTCTAACAGAAACACTTGGTTTTGCGCTGCCATCGGACCGTGATATATTCCATTTATAGCCTTACGTTAATTTTGTACTTCTGGCTTGTGCATTTAAGTTGAAATATCATAACGTGGTGTACTTACCATGTGGTCATCACAGCACCAGTCTTTACAGAAAAAAATAAGGACATAATAACCTAAAGGGGATATCGTGTCAACAAACGTACCTTCAAACGAGACCAAAGCTGACCCTGTGTCTGTGTGTAGGAGCTGCCAGCCGTGGAGGAGGTGTTGGTGTCCTTACCAGAAGATGCAGAACTAAAGCCTGTAGGCACAGTCTCCAGTATTATACAGCAACTTGGTAAGTAAAGACTAGGGGTGCACCGAATGGGAAATTCTTGACCGATACCGAAAATAGGAAACAGTTGGCCGGAAACCGAATGCCGAAAGGCCGAAAATGATTAATAGAAATATATATATATATAATGTATACATTTTTTACCAATGTTGTTCAGCTACCCGATTATGGAAAAATACATGATTATGTCAAAACTTAACTTAACTTAAATAATAATCACTATTATGGGTCCATAAAACATTTATTCAGCACTT